CACACACACACACACACACACACAGACACACACACTCACACACACACACACACACATACACACACACACACAGACACACACACAGAGTGAGATGACCACTAACCGGGTATCCAAAGCCTCCGATGTCCAGTGTGGATTCCAACTCCAGCTGTTGTCCAGCTTCAGCCCATACCCATCTGCGGCAGGGAAATACGCGACATGTAAACATGTGTGTGCATGCATGTTGGATCAGAGAGAAAAATGTGTGTGTGCAGGTGCCTGTGAGTGTTCGTGTGTGTGTGTGTGTCTCTGTGTGTGTATGTGTGTGACATGTTATCCAGCTTCAGCCCCCACCCAGCTGTGGCACGGAGGTAGAGGAGATGTAAACAGGTGTATGTATTAGTAAGCATGTTGGATGAGAGAGAAAAATGTGTGTGTGCAGGTGCCTGTGTGTGTATGTGACATATGGTCGCATTTAAGCACAAGGGAGCTATCCCGCAAAATGCTGTTTTGAGAAAATCGAAGGGAAAGTTTTTGCCCCTTGTTTAGTTTCTTTAAAAGACAAGGAGAGTTTTGAGTTTTCTCTATAACCAAACAAATATACACACGTATGAAACCAAACTTCTCCTATAGGTAGGGCAATGCCCACTTTTGGTGTCGGCCAAGATTTCTAGAAACCCCCTAAATCTGGTTCAGCCCACTTGTCCTTAAAAGTGACCATGTGTTTGTGTATGAGACATGTTGTCCAGCTTGAGCCCCCATCCATCTGTGGCAGGGACAATCACGAAGTGTGTATATGGGATAGGTTTAACGGCCTCAATCAACACTGTTAACTTATTTAACCCTCTCCGTACGTCGTGTTTTACTATCGTATCCATACGACATGGGGAACTCTGTGCCATCACTTTCCAAAGAGGAAATTTACTCATTAATCCAATTCGTACCCTTTGGATAGCAGTCTATCAAAATGATTTTTTGAGAAGTACTGAAAGTTTCAAAGAGATCTTCGCACTAGAAGTATTCTAAAATGTGAAAAATACAACCCCTGGGGTAAAAAATGACCCCAGAGCGTTTTTTAAAATTTTAGTAGAGGTTTTACGGCGCCTGCAACTGTATAAGGTCATATGAGCGCCAGAAGATTAGAGGTGTTACAAGAGAGTAACAAACATAAAAAAGAAGGAGGGGGAGATAAGGACGATAGATGTTTAATAGGAAAGAAGAAGCAAACCACACCAGAGCACCCGCCAACCACCCACACCCCAGGGGGTACAGATTGGTATAAGAATGATCTACATAACAGTAGAGTAGACAAACAAGTTTGTGGCGGGCCCACCCACCCCACCTACCCCCACATCTGCTTCTTGTATTTCTCTCCGAGGCGAGTGAGGGTGGCCAGGTAGTCCTTGCGGCACTTCGACTGGCAGTCCAGGATGTGGGGCAGCACTGACACGATGCACAACTGGTGGTCGTCGCACGCCTCCTGCAGCACCGACTTGTCTGTGATCTGAGGGAGATGAGATGAGATGAGATAAGATGAGATAGAATGAGATGAGATGGGATGAGAAGAGATAGGATGAGACGAGATGAGATGAGACAGGATGAGACAGGATGAGATGAGATGATATAGAATGAGATAGAATGAGATGAGATGGGATGAGAAGAGATAGGATGAGACGAGATGAGATGAGATAGGATGAGATGAGATGAGATAGGATGAGTTGAGATGAGACAGGATGAGATGAGATGAGATAGGATGAGATGGGAAGAGATGAAATAGGATGAGATGAGATGGGATGAGAAGACATGAGATAGGATGAGATGGGATGGGATGAGATGAGATAGGATGAGATGAGATGAGCCTAATCAAGATAAGACAAGATAAGGCTTGTAGCTCATTGTGCTGAAATATACGCAACAGATACCCGAAAAATTACACCCTTAAATTTAAATAAATACGATATGAAAACAAGGCAAAACTTGGTAACGCCTTATCAAACTAAAGCGCAAAGTAAAAGGTCACTATTACATGCTATGATAAATCATCTGTCCTCGGACTCATTCAACTTTTTAAAAAAAATTCCAACAACATTCACTATTATTTCACACCCTCTTCAAATCAACTTGTCGGAAAAAACTAGTAGAAAAAAACACCAAAAAAACAAACATTTTAGGTATGAAGAGTAGAGCAGAAATCACTTTAGATATATTATAATATATATGAAGAGTAGAGCAGAAATCACTTTAGATATATTATAATATATATGAAGAGTAGAGCAGAAAACACTTTAGGTTTGAAGAGTAGAGCAGAAAACACTAAGTATGAAGAGAACAGCAGGAATCACCTGTTTGACTTCAGGAGGAGGGATGTTCTCGGCCAGCTTGTCCATGGCCCAGCGGACAATGTCGCCTGACGTTCTTCCTCCGTCGTACTCCGTGGCTTCTCCGCCGGAAAACATTTTGATGGTGGGGAACCCTTGGACCTGAACACAACGACATTAGAACATGACATTACACGAGTGTACGACCACGGAGAAGATGAAGGCACCACGTCACACACACAATAGAAGGACATTAGAAAATATTACGTTACTTGGAATACAGTTAACACTCAATTTTCATTTAAGTGAAAGACGTACATGTATATATTATACATATAAACAGAAACATCTCTGCTATCACTCTATTTATGATTAAATACGATGTTACAAACCAACTACCAATAGCTGCATAAGCCATTCATTTTTAAGAGGGCAAAAAAAGAGGTG